CCCCAGCCGCTGTCCCGAAGAGCGAATCAACCTCAGAGCTAGAAACATGAGTTCCGCAATCGGGACCGCGCGCTTCGCGTGAGCACATCGCTTAGCCGAGGTTCGTCTCAGCCCGTCCCATACAGGGGTAAAGGTGATCCAGTGCCATGTTCCGAGCTGCGAAAGTGAGCCTCGAGGTAGGACAGATAGAAACGGGAACCTGTTTCAGAAGTTTCCTGAGAGACGGAAATCATTGAGGAGATGCCTGCCTTTGTCGGTCGCCGCTGCAAGCAAAACAAGCTCTGAAAAGCTCCACCGCATTGATACCGGGAAGATTTTATTGCTTTGGTCCGAGAATCAGGCGCTCGCGTTTTCACTATATGCCTCGCCCGCGGATCCTTCGTAGGCAACAATGCGTGCTTAGCTTGACCTAACTTCAACCGGACTCCAGTTGAGGTCGGTAGGAGCTATCGTTGTGAGTCGTTCCCTCTGACTCTTGTAGAATGTCTCCGATAGATCCTCGAAGGTTTCGGCTGCAGGAGTCGATATACCCCTTGTTTAGAATCATCAGGAACGACACCTGAGATTAGATATCGCGAGGGCGTGAAGTCCCGCCCCATAAATTATCGATTATGCTCAGGGTGTCGAAGCGTATTCGCCGGATCCAGCGAGCCTTCCATTCCAGTCTAATAGATGTTAATTGTCTAAGGACCTATTCGGTGGGTAGGTAGATGTAGGTCTCTGATATGGATCGTTCAAAACGACATGAGAGAACGACAATCGGAGATGACACGGCCCAGGCTTCGGAGAAGCACAGGTTGGAATTTTCGAGCGGTGTTTGAAACGGGCTCAGTCAGATTACAGACTCTTGAACGTTTCTCAGAACGTTTATAACGGTTTCGGAGGTCGTTTTGTGCGGCGCTCGGGTAGGCGGCGGCATCCATAGTCGTCAGCCGTTCGTCTGTCTAGCTGACGCTCGCTGAAGCGACTGTGCGGCCGAAGCCCCCGAATGATCGACTCAACCAAAGGGGTTGGATTCGTTCGCCTCCGTACCGGGAATGCTTTTGTGAACACGATTGTGAGCTCCCGGATTTCCCTTATGATTGCGACCGAAAAAGTCGATATTCAGGGAGTGATCCTCTCATGGCTTGGACGCCATTTTTTTTTTCGAAAAGACAGATCGAGGACGATCCTTCCGCCCAGAAAATCACTGGAGAGTCATCTGAGCTGTGGGTACCGATTTATCCGTGCATAGGGATCGCGAGGGAGAAGGAGCTGAAAAAAAGAAATCGGTGGACGAGTGGAACCGGGGTCGCGGTTCCGTTCGCGCACCTGAGTGAAATTCAGGGCAACCCTGGAGTCACTCCGATTCTGTTCCTGTCCTCGGAGTATCTCAACCCAGACGATGTAATCCTAACACATATTGTGATGCGGTGAGTGTAGATAGAATAAAAGCTTACGACCGCGCCGTTGTCGATCGACGCCATAATCGGTAGTTAGAGCGGTAGCTATGTAGATTCTTCCGCGAGAGATGTTCTCCAATGTAGAACATCCGCATTGATGACGGAGGCCTTCTTGCTTTGGAACTTTTCGCTCTACATCATTATCATTCTTGATATCATCCTTGTTCCTGTAGGTGCTTCTGCTCATACGGTGGAGATCTTGAACGGTAGTGGTTTCGCGGAAAACTGATCCCTTACCAGACGGTGGCTCATTTCGAGACGGAGGCTTCATTCAATCGGGGGCGCCTCCGTGGCTCGAGATTATGGGGGTCACAGAGAATCCGTACTGCAAAAATGTGCGATACGCATCATTTAGGAAGCCCGTTCTGGGAAGGGGCACGAGTCCGCATTCTTCGGGTTGGCTATTTTTCTGGATCCGCTGCTGACTTTTAATCAATCCAATCAGAGCTAGGATGTACGAAAGCGCTCCAGGCGGACCGGTCAGCAGAGCGTGCCCGGCTCAGGTGACAGGCCGATTCCGCGAACGACGCAGAAGTTGTTTGAGCAGAGCTCGAATCGTAGCTGGATCGAATTCGAGAAATCATCGCATTCGTCGATTATTATATATATGAGTCGTCAAATCAGAAAACCGGAGGATCCAAAATTGTGTCTCGTCCGTATAGCGAATGCCGGGATGCGGTCGTGATTGATCACTCGATTCAAGCGAGTAACGTTGCAGTGGTTGATTAGAACGATGGCTCGGCTGAGATTTGGAACAATGCGTGTGAAGTATTTATAGCACGCTTCAAGAGACTTATGTGCTGCCTCTTTCTGAAAGTCTGAGCAAACGTCGACATCCGTCTATGTGCGTCCGGCTGTGTTCGGCAGCTGGCTTGCCCGATGAAAATTCTCGCGCCTTCCTCCAGGTCTCTGGTCGCCTGCTTTACACACGTGGATCGCGGGGATAACCAAGATGAATGAGCATCGAGTCGAGGGGCTTCGATCATTTCTCAAAAACGCTCTTTTCCTCTTCTTTTGAATATTCCCCCCACCACGTCACGCTGTGAGCTAAGGGTCAATCGGTTCCGTTCGATGATGAAGGCTCTTGTACATGCAAATCGCGGGGCTGCGGTTGCGACGGCGATTCGAAGATGATTTCCGAAGATTATCGACCGCGAGAGAACAAACAGCAAGAAGATGAAGATGTTCCGAACGTTCCGAGAGCCACCCACCACGGAACTTTTTTTTCCGATTTACCGTTAGCAGAAGAGCATGGAATGCTACAATTCAGTGTGCGGCGCTCACTATAATATCAGACTCGATGTGTGAGGACGCATCGTCCGCACTGACGATTCGAGAAACCTTACAGATGCGTCACCTCGACTCGAGGCTATCCCGTACCCTCCCTCCCTGTTTCTCCATTCTATCACCAATATCGTTCCCGGAGGATAGTGGCCACTCGTTTGAATGATGGTTGTCGGCCAGCGCGACTCTTCCTCCTTGTCTGGAAATTTTCGCCCGGACCGAGTCGAGCACATTCAACCCACGGATCGTTTCTGAATCGTGGCTGAGTTCCACCTTAGCCTTCCTATCAATGATACCCCCTCGAAGGCTCCGTTCGAGGGTGCCAAGGCTGAGCGCAAGTATGGATACTGAGTAGCGTTCAGGTCGCCCTACAATGTGGTGCTACGTCAGTTCTTACCGAATTCCACCTCTTACTGGAGCGTTCGAACCAGATCTACGCTGGAATCCATGTCGCGATAACATTCGCGCTGCGCTCGAAGTCACCTGCGCTCGAAACCCTGCGTTCATTGTCGCTTTGCGCTCGAGCTCACCTTGCGCTCTAATTCACGTTGGCTCGAATTTACGATGCGCCTGGCTTGATTTGCGCGGGTCCATCTGATTCCCCATCGCGGCGTTGATGACCAATGGTACGGTGATTTTTTCCGATCAATGGTCGATTTTTCGGAATCGAGAATAGGGACAGGCTGCCTGCGTATCAGTATAGCATGTTCACGTTCTCCGACTGATTTTCGACATACTCAAGGGAGAGTACTGATTCACTCGTTTTTCCCCTGAATGCGGCCTTCGATTTCCAAGAAGCCTCGTTTCCGTGAGGTCGTTTCCAGAGCTTCGCCCCGCGAGGTACTCTCCCGAGAAATTCTTTCAGAAATCGTTCTTGAACTCCGGGCGCCAGGGCATGCTGAAGCCCAGGGCTCGATGAAGTTTGAGCTCAGTACGCACACATTCCTCCGTGACCTGATCGTCCTCGTCTTTCCCGGACTCGAATTCAGACCGATCGCACCTGGCGGCATCAGCTGGTATACAGCGACAGGTCTCCTAAAGTATCGCCAAGCGTCTACGACTTCGCTGCAGTCAGAGAATCAGCCCGATTCTGCCGCGGCGTTGCGATGGGCCAGTGAGCTCAGTGTCAGTCACTGACTTCACACACAAGTTTTTCACGAAACACCGTAGACGCGCCCATTGGCTGGAGTTTAGGCTGTTTCTGCGCAAACACAGGTGTCGGTCCCTTAAAGCGACCGAATGACAGGGCGGATCGTGGTTTTGGTTTACGAGTCATACTAAGCGAGTCAGAAAAATTCTTCCCAAGGTCTGCGAGCTCTAGACACTGCATCCGAATCTCGACCGCGGAAAATTCGGCAAATTCTCGAAAATGGGAAATTCCATTGATCGCGATAGCCCGAGGTCTTTCGCGAGAGGTCCATACACCTGACGAGTAAACAGACGTTAAGAAGAGTCAACTAGGCGAGTTCAAGGGTTATGCCGGATTCGGCGAATGCTCATTCCGAAACGGAAGATCCTCACGGCATGGCTTCTACGTCTCGATACCCTTATTTGAAGTGGGAAACGAAATCACTGGACAACTTTCATCGGGTCTGTTTGCTTTAGCACTAAGCATGCCGGCCAATATCCAGCGTCTATCGATCGCGAAGCCTCGAATTTTCTTTTTATTGCAGATCGCCCTCTCGGTCGAAGAATCTCTTCGGCTGATATACCTGCATCATGAAATGACCCGTTCCGTCATCGGAAGGAGCCCGTGAACTCTCCGAGTCCTGCCATGTCGAAACCATCGACTGAATCCTCGAGCTGAGAGATATTGGACGCACAATTTCGTCGACGTGATCCGATCCGAGGATTGAGATTGGGGGATGAATCGAGCCGATCCAAAACTCCAAAGAATTCGCACTTCCGGACTACCTGTTCCAAAAAGACTTCAGGGGAGAAATACTCCTCTCTGTGTACCATCGCGCCTCAACCCTAGCGTCACCGCCGATCGTACCTCGATCAGACCGGGCCAAGGATATCGATGCAATCGCGATGATGAATCCTCGAATAGGCGTGTTATCGACGTTTGTACGCCAGCGTGTGCATCTTCTTCCCGAATGGTCTGGATTAGTCCGACTTGAATTATTTTCGCCAAGGATGCTGATCCTTCCCAAGCTCCGTATTCCACCATCCCTCCTCCTCCTCCCTTAAGTTTTACTTCTTTTCCCTCTCCTCCTCTAATATTACCCTCTCCTCTCTCCGATTGGGGCGCCTTCGTTAGAAACACACCAGTGCGAAAGCCGGCCGCCGTCAAGCGCTAAGTTTGCTATCGGACCCGAACTTTTTTTTCGAATGCATCCCTGTTGGTTCTTCGTAGACTTTCTCCCACCAGCTACTGGACCATAATTTTGACTCCCTCGGAACTCGTTCTGATTTGGTTGAAGTGCCGCTGACATCCGTGCAGTTCTGTGTCGCTGAAAGGGATTATTTTAAAACTATCGCTTTGTGATCGCCGGCGCAGAGGGTCGAAACCTCTCGGAAACAGGAAAGGTGAGCGAGCCCATCACAGAAATCGGTATATAAGTCGTCGCCGCCGTCTCGCGGGGTATCCTGCTCCGGTGCTCAGATTCGGTATTCGGTGGAAGTTTCTGCGGTATTCGTTGGAAGTCCCGTTCTACAATGCTGGGCATTCGAATTCGGCAAAGGATGACAGGAGGACCGATTAACACATTTGTGTCATGAGCATCGTAGATCTCTTGATCCACCCGATGTCAATTGATTGTGGGTCTAGAAACACACACGGGGAATCTGAAGTGGATATTCGAGTGGGGAGAATCTCAAAGCACATCTGGGCGTGGTTTATTAATTGTGAGCTCGAAAATCTCCGATACTCGGAATCAGTTCTCTTACGGATCGACTCGCTTCAAAGGTGACTTTTGTCCCGCCACAAGCCTCTCTCTTCCACTGTCGAATCTGGAAATCCCTTTACTCAGCGGACCGTTCGCTGGAAGCCGATATTTTGTTTTTCACGGTTGGAACTATCAAGCGGACGGATAGGCAAGCAGGCGGGCGAGCTCGCCGGTGGCCGGTGTGATTCATCCAACGACCGCGAACTTGGCCGTCGTTGATTCTCCGTCCCATTCTATTGGAGGTGTTCTCTAGCTGACACAAGTGTTGTTTCAATTGTCGTCTTCCCGAAAATGATTTCTGGAGGCTATGTTCGAATTTCCTGATTGTAATAGATCCGATCGATACTGTGGAGGAATTGTTCCGCATTAGTTTTTCATCTCGTCCAAATGCTTTGGGTATTCGTGGAATTAGTAGGGACTAGTCGGCTCCGACCTCATGAACGAAGCTAGAACACTGCGAGGAGTAGTACTACGATGGTCTGACCAGGTGTCCCATTGGTTCGCGGGTCCCGTCACAACTTCAATCAGCGATGCTCCTTTGCTATCGACGATGACAGGCTAGGACCATGACGAAAGTTCCTAGAGTCGATTTATTGCCATTTCATATTTCGACGCATTTGTTATTCTAATCGAAATATCCCCGAACTTCATGCTTGAGGCGAGCTCCGCATGCGATCTTGGGCATTCGATAATCGAATTCGGCATCATTTGAAATCAGAAGCCGCGTCTGAGGCTCTTCGCTGCCAATGAGCGAGAGTAATCTCGGTGACATGCAGCCATTGTTTTGCACTTGTTTTCTTCCGTGGAGATCGTCGAGATGCGATGATTCAACCTCGACCTGTTTTCTGGTGTTCACGGCATGGACGTCTGTGCGATTTTTTAATGGATACCGTTTAGCGAATCAAATTGGACCATCGATCGAGTTATTCGTTTGTCAGTTTTTCCGGCGATTCGGCGTTGACGAAAAAGCGGGACCAGTCCCGCTCCTCTCCCGGAAGACCTCTTGGACATGGAGGATTCCCCTCGTCTCCCCCATTCCTCCCCCAGGTCCACCGTAGAGCGTCCGCAGGGAATTTGAAGCACCGAATTCCTGACCTCCCAAAAATTTCACGTCGATGTGATTAGCGCGAGTCTGCATGTCGTTTGCAGAACATACCGAGCATTTGACCCGTCATCTCATCGAATCATGCGCTCTAGGAAGGGGAGCGGAGGGAAGGATTGCAGCACCAAGCGCGGAATCCTCATCGGACTCCAATGAGGCGCTCGAGCCTCATGAACTCTCATCTTTCCCCCGTACGGATGAGCTCATTGTTCCCGAATGGAGTCTCATCTGAAGGCTTCCGTCTCCGAGAGATGATCGTGGCCTCACAGTCCACCTTGCTTGTATGCCTTCCGTGACTTATCCGCGTGACCACCGTCCTGATCCCTGACGGCATTCGGGTTCGCTTCCGTGGCTTCTACAGAGCCCCACATGGGCGTTACCGCAATCTACTCGATGATTCGGGATCCATACTCCTCGATTCGCGTACTAGCTCCTCTCGAGGTCACAAGTCACGGAACCGAAGGTGCGATGTCGGTTCTGATCGGACGCATTCTTATCTTGGAGCACTCCAGCAAAAATCGTCGCTGGGCTCTCGACGCTGGAGCTGAGTGTTGGCTTTTTTGTGCTTGGCTGTGTCGGTCCATGAGGCGTGGTGCCCCATCACCGCTTCGTCGACTCCTGGCAGTCGCTCGCTTGGCCGGTCGCTCGGTGGGCCTGTCAGATTGCCTGCCCGGGTAGATAAGAAGCACTGCAACAACTGCTCGACAACTTGCCTCGGGTTTCCTCTGCGAGATTGAGCACTCAATTCACTTTGCAAGTTTCGTGTACCTGCGAGCTTCTCCCCCACTTCGAATAGGCGCCATAGATCTCAGATCACTTCCTGTGGATGATGTCTCAGCCAGTCGAGATGTCTCAGGAACTTCGTGGAGGTTTTCCCGAAAATGTTCCCTCAGAAATCAGAGCGTATCGTATAAATGTTGGCCCTCGAACATTACAAGAGGATCAGAGCATAGTTCCGGGGAATAGGCTTTATACAGGATTCCTCCGGGAGGCATTGCGCCTTACGCGATCCCGAAAACGAGTCCAGCTCCGGATCATCCTGAGCTTTCGAAACCCGAGGTCTCGAAATCTCGAGGGGTACCGAGACAGGAAGACCGGAGATGATGCGTGTCCCTCATCGGCCTTATTTTTCTCGGTTGCTCCCTCCTGGTCTCAGTCCGCGTTTCAGTCTGTCTGTCCGGTTGATAGCTAGCCGGCTGGTTGGCTGGCTGACAGACAGACAGACTGACTGACCTGGTTGGATGGTTAACTTCGTCGCTCTGGCTGCGAGTCTGCGAGAGGCCATATCGGGATTTTTTCTCTCTCTGATCCAACAGGTTGGTAGCGCTCAGCGTGCTCAATATCTGTTTGTTGTGTCGCCTCGTCTAAATTCATTCGCCGTACATGGGAGCTGTTTCAGAGCCAGTCTGTTGTAACCAATGGGAAACAGTGAACTTATCGAATGCGGAAGCCGTTCCGAGGTTTTCAGCGAGTCAAAGCGAACTTCTTTCGGAACAGTCTAGTTTTCGATCCGATAATGTTCTGATGAGCTCTCCTGATGAGTAGCGTGCTTCACTTGGGTCTCGCTGGCGCTCACCTCAAATCGAAGTTGACCGGTTTTACAACCCTGAGAACTCGAGCTGCGCCGGAGAAAAATACCGAGCGACCAACAAACGAGCAATGAATAGATGCTTGAGTATTATGTTCGAGAGCTCAGGTCGGCTGCACTCGGAGGCTCCATGTCCAGTCTGAGCTCGGGAATTCGGAGGGAGAAGTTTCCACGAATTTATTCTCTGCTTCGGCGTTTACGAGCCTTTTATTTTTCCTGAAAATAGAACCAGCTTGCGGTTCCTTCTCCGTAATCTCCATATACATATCTACGCGTTCCAATCCACGGAGTTTCTTTTTTTCAACTTCTTAATCTTCCGTCGACCGCCTTCGAGAATTCCCGTGATCCGCCGGCATTTCTTTATCGATAGTTCGACATGCGCTCACCACGGATCTTCGCAATGCAAATATTTTTCTGCCTTCCCTCGCGTCGTTAAGTCATGATTCATCAAGATGACGTTAGTACTGACTGCGACACCGGACAGCGGTTCGGACAACTAGCGAAAGCTTAGTCAACCGCTTCGAATGTTGTAAACGCCTACTTCGATGATACACAACCACGACAAGTCTGATGGGAGCTACTTTCTCTCTAATCGGTAGTACTTGATGCTCTTCAAATGATTTTTACCCTCCTAAAACTGATGTGCAGCTGATGCAACACGTTGACAAGATGCCAAGTCGAATGTGGCGAAAAGTTTTGCATAAGAAGAAAGTCAGTATCGAAACGAATGCGTTCGGTGAGAAGGATTGCGCGATCCGGTTGGGCTTTAAGCGAAGTCTACTAGGTTCTGTTGCTTACATCATCGAGGTCACCCTCCTGAATCTTATGGTGATAATCCGGAGTCAGGAAGGTTCTCGAATCCTCGTGAGTCACGCGAGATCGGTCGTTTTTTGTAGTCTATTTCTCGGATCGTCTGTAGCGCCGGAACTTTTGTCGAGGTCGATGCGGCGAATTTCGGGTGAGTTTTCTTCTGTTTTCCGACATAAAGCTGATCTGGATTGTTTCGTCGGCGGTTCCGTGCTTCTGTATCAGAGCTCGGTCCAAGGCTTCGACCTCGACTCAACTCATTACTGCACTTCCACTTATCCACTCCGCAGAAATTCGGATCTGACTGCATCATGCTCTATTAGCTCTTGTCGGAGAGAATTATAGCTTGCCTTGTTCCGGCCGCTTCCATTCCCAAGACGATCCGTTCGTTTTCATCCGAATAAACCGATAATTGAAAAATTCATTCTGGCACTCTGGGGAACCGGAAAGACGATTCAAGCGCTTTCTGAAAAAAGTGGAAATTGTCCAGCAGAGTCTTTGGTTCTGACAGGTCCCTTCTCCGCCAACCCCGCAAAGATTAGGAGAAAAATGATTCTCCCACCAAACGATTGAGGCGTTTACTATTAACGGCTATGACCGTAGTCCGAAGTGTGAAATTGATGCTTTAGCAGAGAGCTCACGAGCGAGCAAGTGAGTGAACCAGAAAGACTTATCCAAGACCACCCATCGGAAAACTCATTGCTTCGGGCTCCGATGCTGTTGTTGTTGTCGCTGCCAGTGAAGCCGTTGTTGATGATGGCGTCGCTGCGGATGCTTGTCCATTCTCAAAATGAAGGAAAAATATAAAAGCAGAGGAGGAAATGCGTTACGCCCTTCTTCGTCTCTCGGTTCGCTCGTTCGTCCATTCATCTGTCTGTACTTTTCTCTCATCCTCTCTCGCTAAATGAAATACCGCGCTCACCGCGGATCGAACCCGCCGCCTCAGCCCGAGACAATACACTCTTGGCGATTCTCGAATTTTTCGACTTAATTTTTTTCTATCTTCCGAAAGAGTCGATTGTCCAGCTGAATCGCGCGCCAGCTGATTGTTTCTACCGGGGCGATAGTATCGGGGATCTGTATCGATGCTTGACGATGGTCTCGCATCCGAACTCTTCTTCCCTTCGAATGTGGATAAGAACAC